ACTTTGGACGAACATATATATATATATATATATATATATATAAGGTGTTATGTGATGCACAACCTATCAAATTAAAGGTCTTTGAGTCTAGTTTCTAATGCTTCAAACCGTTCATCATTTGGACATTTGTACAAAAAGTTATGATTGATTTACTGAAGGCGGGTAATGCTGTGTTCTGGGGCAGAGGCAAATCGCGGTTACCAAATGCGATTTATAAGTCGTATTCGACAGCTGCGACTTACCTGGACAAATTACAAAACACGAGTTTCAACCATTTTTAACATATTTGGAGCTATGGAGCTCGGATTGAAGCGATTTTTTAGGCAATTTTCACCATATGAATTGGGGTAAGTGATTCTAACTCGATTTTGGTTAAATACATGAATCTATTGCTGTTTTTATCATGAAATTAGTGAATTGGGTTGAAAATGGTAGAAATTCTCTATACCTTAGATTTAAGATTTGGAGGTCGATTTGTTGTTAGAATTTAGTAATTTTGGTATGGTCGGACTCGTGGTTGAATGGGCGTTCATATTTTGTAACTTTCGTCGGATTCCGAGACGTGGGCCCCACAGACGATTTTTGATCTAATTTCGGATTTTATTGGAAAATTTGGTATTTTCATATGGGATTGATTCCAATAATTTGTGTTGATTGTATTGAATTATTTTTGGCTAGATTCGAACCATTCAGAGTTGGATAATCGACGAAAAATGTCAATTATTGGATTGAGATAGTGTAACACTTCGCCTCAATATGATTTACAACCTTTATAACTCAATATCAATTTCAACAACATGGACTGAAAAGAAATTCATCAAGGGACAACATTTTTTTTAATTCACAACTTCATGAAATAAATAGATTTATTCATCTTATTAACTAAATTTCTCATTTAAATTGTATGTAGATAAAATCAATAATGAAAATTATTTCCATAAAAATAGCAACTCAAACAAACACAGAGTTCACATAAAAGTCAAGTAGCAATCGCACCAAATTATCATATAAAAATAATCTAGACAAATAAGGAATGAGACATGACAAGTAAGAGATTTAATAAGTCCCAACAATTTTCCAATTTAATACATAAGGTTGTATACGAATTTTAACCGATATAATTTGCACATATAAACCAAGTACGTACTCGTCACCTCGCGTACATGGTTTTCAATCACACAATTTCCACATAAGACTCAATGCTTAAGGGGAAATTCCCCCACACAATGTTAGCGTAATTGGGCACTTGAGGTGCAAGTTGTATTATGTTGTGATATTGGGCACTTGAGGTGCGATTTGTGAAATAGTGTGATATTGATATGCATGCGGTGATATAAGGCCAGAGTGTTGAAACGCATGCGGTGAGATAAGGGTGGCTTGAAACGCGTGGCTAGTAGGGGAACTACTAGAAGTCATGCGGTGTGATAAGGGTGGCTAAAACGAGGGACGCTATTTCGGGGAAAATATTTTCTTTAAAATTCTATGTGAAGGCTCCCGCGGTGATATAAGGAAATGAGATATTGTTAATTTATTTATGATTTGAGACTACGAGGCGGTACCTCGGAAGTGCGTTGTTGATATTTCTTTGTTTATATTCTTGTCTTTGGTGATTTTGTTTCATTAATATGTAAATTCTTATCTTCTTTCGTGATGTACTAGTTGACATTATTATTATTATTATTATTATTATTATTATGTGTTTTGTGCTCCTTGTTGCATTGTGTTGGCTTTGACTTTTTAGTACANACTCAAACTATTTGTAAAGTAAATTGATCGTGCATATTTTTTTATATATTGATATTTTTGGCACTTGAGTTGTCCGTGCAATTGTGATAGAAATATGACCACGAGGTGCCGTGGAAATATGAAAGTGGGCTGAGGCCCGTATTACGAAAAATATGAAGGTGGGCTGAGACCCGTATTTTTATGANATATTGATATTTTTGGCATGTGAGTTGTCCGTGCAGTTGTGATAGAAATATGGGCACGAGGTGCCGTGGAAATATGAAAGTGGGGTGAGGCCCGTATTACGAAAAATATGAAGGTGGGCTGAGACCCGTATTTTTATGATTGTGAAATGAGGTGTCACAATGTGACTTTTATTTGAAAGAATTATATTCAAAATATTATTTCTAAGAATTAGATTCGAAAGATATTTATTTGAAGGAAGTATATTCGAAATATATGTATTGGTAAGTATTATATTCTAAAGATTATTATTTGGAAAACTTTTAGATGAAAGATGTGTAATTGAAGGACTTGATTAAATGGTTGTACTTGTAATCATTATTTGTTGAGCAATATTTATGGTGTTCTTGTTGTCCTGCTATGTATGTCACTTGTTGATTATGAAAGATTTGTAATTAAAGGACTTGATTAAATGGTTGTACTTGTATTCATTATTTATTGAGCAATATTTTTGGTGTTCCTGTTGTCGTGTTGTTTATATCACTAGTTGATAATTGTTGCTATCATTGCTATTTGTTTCCTATTATTTTGGTATGCTATATTGCACAGGTTATTAGATGTGTCTTGACTGTACCTCGTTACTACTCCACCGAGTTTAGTCTTGATACTTACTGGGTACCGTTGTGATGTACTCATACTACACTTCTGTACATTTTTTTATGTACAGAGCCAGGTATTGGAGATGTAGGACTCGGACAGAGTTAGAGAGTGATCGCAAGGATTCAAGGTAGGGCTGTTTGGTCGTCGTAGTCCCTTGGAGTCTTTCCATCTTATTGTACTGTTAATAATTATTCGAGCAGTAATGTATATTTAATTTCCTTCAAATCGTTTCATATATTAACTTAGAGTTCGTTAGTACTACCAGTCTTGGAAGGTTGTATCTTAATTTTTGTTGTTGGTTTCGATTATCCTTTAAAAAAAATGGCTTGAATTGTTATTATAATCGGCTTACTTAGTCTTAGATACTAAATGTCATCACGACTCATATGGTGGGATTTTGGATCATGACAATTGGTTAAGAGTCAACTAGTAGGGATCAACAAGACTTAAGCATATAACTACCTATACTAAAAGACTACTTCAAAACTTAGTCGGGTTAATTAGTACTAACACTGAATTTTTAAACACACAATTACTAACTTAAACTAAAACATGACAACGCAGGAAAGACAACTTGAAACTGCAATCCGATAGGTGATTTAAGCCTAACGAGCGACTAAACATCATCGCCACACTCCAAATATACTAACATAAGCAAACTGAATCGTTGGTTATCAGAACCTAAACGTTATTCCTAAGTACCATCAAAATCAGAAATTAAAGAGGCGGGGAATGATGGATTTGAGATTTCAGTTAAAGCAACTACCAATACCAATGACAAGAAACAAAAATAAAACATAACGATTAGGCAAACCGTGTTAACAGTGACATATTTGATCAAAATCGATTATCTTAAACAACAGCGAAATCAGAAATTAGGCTAAATAGGAACGTTAAACTAAAATGATATAAACAGAAATTAAACTACAACAAAGCTACAAACAAACGATAGAGAAACAGAAAAATCAAAACCTCACGGGAAAGGATCAGGGTTCGCAGTTTATACAAAGTTCAGGACATTCGAGGCCAAATCGAGTAGCCAGCAGACGCCGGGGACAAAGACGAGCGGTTGTCCGACCTTGGAACACTTGATGTGTTCCAACAGACGCTGAAATAAATATTTTCAGCAGCATAATGGAAAGAAAAGAGGGTTTTTGGTCGAAAACGGCTAAAAGAGCTCGAGTCAGTGGGGTGGAGGAAGGCGGCAGCAGGAGTGAACGGAAGCTTCGCTGGAATTCGAGTCACCGGAGATCGAGTCGAGCTCTATATGTCTGTATGTGTTGGGCGAAGGGGATGACTCAATCCTCATGAATTTGAAGAAAACGGGAACGCTAGGATTTCGATTTTTGTGAGATATATGGTTTTTGGGAGGGTTTTGAAGGTTTTGGGGTGCGGAATTATTGTGGGAATTGAAGAAAAAGCAAGAAATTTCTTATAGAAGAAGACGGTTTAATGCAAAGAACTTTTCTTTAGTTACATAGAAAACAAAGCTTACATAGCACCCTTATATAGGGGTTTAGTCTAACTTACTAACTGATAACTTAACCACTAATTTATCCACTAAGCCACTAATAAAGATATGCTTCGACTCAACTAAATCGGAAATATGCCAATTACCCAACTAAATAGGAATTACATTTTTTGAATCAATATTCAGCACTCCCCTTGATTCAAAACTATAGACTTCAAGTTTCTAGTTACTACCGAAAATAATCATGCTTGACTTGTGGGAGTGCCTTAGTAAGGACATCAGCAATTTGATCCCTTGTACTGCAAAACTTCAACTCTATTTCTCCTTTTGCTGTGAGGTTGCAAATGAAATGATAACGGATGTCAATATGCTTTGTTCTGCTGTGAAAAGTCGAATTCTTTGTCATTGCAATCGTTGCCTTGTTGTCACAAAGTATTTTCATTGCACCCTCTTGCTGATGGCAGACATCAACTAACAATCTTCACAACCATATGGCCCAACAAGCTGTTGAAGTTACAATAACATATTCTGCTTTCGACGACGATAATGCATCCACGTTCTGCTTCTCCGAACACCACGAAATTGCTCCAGATCCAAAGCTGAAAACATTTCCAGATGTACTCTTTCTGTCATCTATACTTCCTGCCCAATCACTGTCACTATAACCAATCAAGCTGAAGTCTGCATCTTTAGAGTACCAAATCCTAAAGTCAACGGTCCCAGCAACATATCGCAAAACCCTTTTAGCAGCACCAAGATGTTGCTTCGTAGGACTATGCATATACTTAGATAACACACTAACCGAAAACATAATATCAGGACGTGTGTGTTAGGTAATTCAAACCTCCAATCAAACTTCTGTAATAAACTTGGATCAGCAGGATCGATGCCATATTCAAGCTGCAATTTTTCATTTGCATTCATGGGTGTAGCAGCCACTTTACAATTCTGCATACCAAACCTAAGCAGAAGATCTTTTGCATACTTTCTTTGTGAAACAAAAATACCATCTTCTTCATGTTTCACTTGAAGACCAAGAAAATATTGCATGATACCTAAATATGACATTTCAAACTCCTTCATCATACATGATTTAAATTCAGCCGCCAAAGTTTTACATGATCCCGTATAAATCATGTCATCAACATACAGACAAACTACCAGAAAATCACTCATACCTTACTTCTTTACATACAATGTAGGCTCGCTCTCGCTCCTTTCAAATATGTTCTTTAGGAAATACGAGTTAATTTTGTTGTACCACGCCCGTGGCACTTGTTTTAGCCCATAAAGAGCCTTTTATAGCTTGTACACTTTGCTCTTATCATCTGTAATAACAAAACCCTCAGGTTGGGAAACTTAACCTCTTCTAGATCCCTGTTTAAGAATGCAGATCCAACATCAAATTGATAAACGGGCCAGGTTAATGTAGCAGCCAAAGATAAGTGCATTCTCACTGTTTCAAAGCGAGCAACAGGTGAAAACGTTTCATCATAATCAATACCTTGATATTGTGCATATCCTTTAGTTACCAGCCTCACTAGTATCTCTGTATGCTCCCGTCTGCATGATACTTTATTTTGAACACCCATTTGAGTCCAATGGGTTCTTTGCCATCTAGTAGATCCACCAACTCCCATGTCTGATTCTGCTCAATTGCTCTTCTATCATTGCATTTTTCCTTTCTTCAATCTCAGCAGCTTCCTTGAAACAAGTGGGTTCTGCAACATACAAATCAAAAGAGCAATTTCATTAATTTTCCTCAAAAATCTGAATTTTGTTGGTGGAGTCTCGTTGGAAGAGTCTGATGGAGAAAAATTGTTGCCGCTTCCTTGTGGAGTTAAGGAGTGATCACTTGCTGGATAAGAGGTGCTTGACTGAGGAGGAGAAAGACCGCTACTTGCTCGAGAAGAATTAGATGAGTTCCCTGGAGTAGAGTCTGCTGCAGATTCTTGATTAAAAACATCATCAGTAGGTGCCAATTTATATATTCACATTCCCGGAATTGAAGTTCTAGGTTGCATCTTCATTAAACACAACATTTCTACTGATTACAACTTTGCCACTCACTGAATTATATAGCTTATAAGCTTTGGATTGTGCATTATAGCCAACAAAGATACATTTTTCAGATTTTCCATCAAGCTTATGTTGATCCTGTGAATTCACCAAAGCATAAGCTATACATCAAAAGATGCATAAGTGGCTTACCTTAGGCTTGTTACCTTTCCATGCTTCATATGGTGTTTGATTAAGAACAGCCTTGGTGGGTGAAATATTCAGCAAATAGACAGTTGTGGCAACAGTTTCAGCCTAGAAACACTTTGGTACACCTTTGGCTTGCATCATGCTTCTACCCATCTCAACAACTGTCTGGTTCTTTCGTTCGGCTACACCATTCTGCTCCAGTGTATATGGTGCTATGAGCTCTCTGTGAATACCATTTTCATCACAAAAAGAGTTGAACTTATTTGACATAAACTCGCCACTTCTATCTGTTAGAAGAGTCTTGACTCTATAGCCACTTTGCCTCTCAACAAAAGACTTAAATTTCTTAAAATATTCAAACGTTTCAGATTTGAATTAAAAGAAATATACCCAACTCATTCGACTATAATCCTTAGTAAAAAGTAGAAAGTATCGACTTCCACCTAAGGACTCAACACTCATAGGGCCGCACAAATCAGCGTGCACCAACTCATGACAAATAGAAGCTCTCCAGGACTTGCCTACAGGGAATGAATTTCTATTTTGCTTCCCATTCACACCTCCTTCACAAAATTCAAGAGCATCAATTTTAGGCAAACCAAGAACCATATTTTTGTGACCTAATAATTGCAACCCCTTTATATTCAAATGACCATACTGCAAGTCACAAGTTAGCTTCTATACCACCTTTGGCAACTAATGCATAACTTTTAACATTAGAAACTTCAAGAGGAAACATTTTGTTCTGAGTCATTTGAACATTAACAATTTTTTGACCTGATTTTTTTATCTTGAATGCTACGAGAGTTGTCATCAAATAGAATAAAGTATCCACAAGTCATCAATCGCCCAGCACTCAATAGGTTATGAGCTAAACAAGGAACATACTGCACATCATGGAGAAGTTTAATATTACCTTGAGAAGTTTTTAAGGCAACTGTACCTTTCCCTTCGTCTTTCATTGCTTTATCATTTCCTAGCCGAACTTCTGACTTCTTCGATTCATCAAGCTCTTTGAACAACGACCTTGTGCCAGACATGTGGTTAGAACAACCACTGTCAATGAACCAGACACCATTCAAACCAGCACCTATAGAGGAGAGAGCCATGAACAGATTACTCTCCTATTGTGGTTTCTCCATGAAATTGGCATGCTTTTGGTCATCCTTTTGTTTAGCCCAGCAATTAACTTCCTTATGGCCGAACTTTTTGCAATAGCGACATTGAATGGTGCTCTTGAACTGTCGGTTCTGACCACCAAATTGACCTTGTCCTCTGCCACGACCTCGACCACGAAAACCACCTCTGCCTCCATGCCCTCTAACATTTGAAACTTCTGATTTGCCTTTAAAAGAAGACTCCCCCTTCATTTGAAATGCCTTATCTTCGCCCTTCTCATGAGAGGCATACAGTCTATCCTTATGAGCTTGCAAGGAACTTATCAATTCATTAAAGGTATAGTAGATAAATCATGGGACTTCTCAATAGCAGCTACAATATGGTCAAATCGTTTATTAAGACTTTTTAGAGCTTCAGAGACAACAACTTCATCGCTAATTGTGTCATCATATGCCTTCATTTGACTAACAATTGCACTTCATTTGACTAACAATTGCAGTCACCATAGATAAGTAGTCTTGCACAGATTCACTACTTTCCATCGATGAATTTTCAAAATCACGCCGGAGTGACTGGAGTTTAACAATCATTACCTTTGTTGAGCCGCGAATTCTTTCTTATAGTCTCTCATGCTTCTTTTGAGGTCTATGCAACAACAATTCTGGAGAAAATTGACTCATGCATAGCTTGCTGGATGTAAAACCGGGCCTTGGAGTCCTTTTTGTTCTCCTGTAGTCTTTGAGCTTCGTTTTCCTCAACATAGCCATTCTCCACCAAGTCCCACAATTCTTGAGACTTGAACTAAGTCTTCATTTATATGCTCCAAAATTCATATTTATCCCCATTAAAAGTATGAATTAGTTGCTGAGAAGTGGTGGATGCTCTATTGGGAGCCATTCTTTTCCCTCAATTTTGACTCTTTTTTTTTTGCTCTTACTTTACCTTCCCAGTTTGACCTAACCTGGAAAAAGAGAAAAAAGAACATAAGGTTGGTAATTTGTGGAGTTCCACTCTCTCACTTCTCACCTCGCTCTGATACAAAAATTGTTGGGGGAATTGAAGAAGAAGCAAGAAAACTATTATAGAAGAAGACTGTTTAATGCAGAGAAATTTTTGTTACTTAGTTTCACGAAAAAAATAAAGCTACATAGCACCCTTTATCTAGAGATTTAGTCTAACTTACTAAGAGATAACTGTCTGAACATGACCCACTAACTTAACCACTAATTTACCCGCTAAACTACTAATAAAGATATGCTTTGACTCAACTAAACCTGAAATATGCTAATTACCCAACTAAATAGGAATTACATTTTATCAATATTCAATAGGAATCGGGTAGAGTAGGACGAGAGGAGAAAACGGTGTAAGAATGGAGTGGTTTGGGGTGTTCTGCTGGTGGTGGCGATTCAAAATTTTGGGTAATTAAGGTATTAAATACCTGTGTTGTGATTGAATGAGAGTCGTCCGATTACAACACTATAGATGGCTGAGATCCGATCCTTGGATCACTAAATGAAATGGCGTAGCTTCACTATGAAACTACGTCTTTTAATTACTCCACTGCTAGCCTCATCTTGGACCGGGTCAGTGCCATTGGGCCACTGATTTGGTCCGATTGTTGGCCCATTTCGGCTAAAAACACAACTTAGCCCAACTCTTATTCCCTTTTTACATTAAACTATAATCAACTCCTAAAACCTACACAAACACACATAATAAACAAATTTTTAAAAAAAGGAGCAAAAATTAGGTATTTACAGCAGTGTCATTTCATCTCATTCTCATTTGAGAAAATGTACGGACACGGTGTCTATCACATGGAGTTTTGAGCTTGTAGTGCTTAACTTTTTAATGGCTTTTCATGCCGATAACATGGATTTATTTGTGCGCATGAGACACTGAAAGCACTTCTCAAGCTTATCGTCACTCCTGAGTTTGCTATTTTTAGTAATGACTACTGTGACGATCCGGCCGGTCGTCTTAAGAATTAACGTCTGATCTCCTATTAACTGCTTTCCTCAAGTTTATTTATGCTAATTTGATTTGCCGGGATGTTCAGTTTTGAGTTTCAGAGAGTTTTGGGACACTTAGTCCCTAAATAAGAGCTTAAGTGTTGGAAAGTTGTCCGTAGTCGGAACAGTGTGAAGACGGCCTCGGAATGGAAATCTGATGGTTCCGTTAGCTCCGTTAGGTGATTTCGGGGTTAGGAGCGTGTCTGAAACATGTTTTGGAGGTCCGTAGCTAATTTAGGCTTGAAATGCCGAAGATTTGAATTTTGGAAGTTTCCGGTTCGGTAGTGAGATTTTGATCCGAAAGTCGGAATGGAATTCCGAGAGTTGCAGTAGCTTCGTCATGTCATTTGGGTTGTGTGTGCAAAATATCAGGTCATTCGGACGAGGTTTGATAGACTTTTTGATCGAAAGTGTATTTTATAGAGTTTTTAAAATTTTAGGCTTGAAATCGATGAAAAATGGGTGTTTGGGTGTTGTTTGTAGCGTTCCGAAGGTTGGAACAAGTTTGAATGACGTTTTAGGTTATGTTGGTGCTTTTGGTTGAGGTCCCAGGGGCCTCGGGTGTGTTTCGGATGCTCAACGGGTCATGTTTAGAACTTAGAGAATTGCAGAAAATATTGCAGCAGCCCAGTTCTGGTTTCCTTCTTCGCGTTCGCGAGTGGGGTCTCGTGTTCGCGTAGGGGAACTGGGGCTGGGGGGAGGATTGTGCTTCGCATTCGCGAAGTCTATCCCGCATTCGTGAAGGTTTGTGAAGTAGAGCAGCTGTTATGTGTTTCGCGTTCGCGATGATGTCCCGCTTTCGCGAAGGTAAGGGCTCATTAGTCATCGCGTTATGGTCCACGCGTTCGCGTAAGGTCTGCTCGTGTAAGATACGCGTTCGCGAAAGAGGAATTTGGCCAGCAGGACTTTTGTGCATCGCGTTCGCGATAGTAGCCTCGCGTTCGCGAAGAAGAACGCGCCTGGGCAGATATAAGATTTTAAAAATCAAGGGTTTAGCCATTTTTATCAAAACTTAAGCTTGGGAGCTCGGATTTGAGCGAGATTTTGAGAAATTTTTAGAGATATCGATTGGGTAACGATTCTAAACTCCTTTTTGCTTGTAATCCACTAATCTAAGCATGAATTCCTCCTCTAATTTCGGATTTTGAATGAAAATTAGGTAAAACTTCATAGGCCGAATTATTGAGTTTTGGTTGGGCAATTGGCATCAGATTTGGATAATTTTAGTATGGTTGAACTCCTGAGAGTACGAGGTTTCTGAAAATATAAATTTTACTCGATTCTGAGACGTGGCCCGAGGGGCGTTTTTGTCATCTTACATAATTTCGCGTATTAGCTTAGAATTTTATTGTAGAATCAGCTTCTTGAAGTATTATTTACATTATGAAATGGAATTGAATAGATTTGGGCCATTTGGAGTCGGATACTCGTGGCAAAAGCGTGGTTTTTAGTTGATTTTGAGCCAGTTCGAGGTAAGTGGCTTGTCTAACCTTGTGTGGGGGACCTTCCCCTTATGATGTGCATATTTGGTGATTTAATTGCCTTGTGCATGAGGTGACGAGCGCGTACTTGTGCAAATTGTTGGAAATACGATTTTCTTAAAGTATTTATTAACATGTTCCCTTTCCTGTTTATTATACTTGCAAATTTAGCACGTTGTTAGTTAGAAAAGCATGTTTAGTTGACTTAAATTGCCTACTTACTTAAATTGGCTTGAGTGCACTACGTGAAGCATGTTAGGCTAGAATTACTTATTTTTCCTTGATATGAAATTTAATTTCTGAAATATCTTCTTGTTGTTGCTGTGTATTTACATTAGGACTACGGATGTG